TTTATTTTTCTACTGGCTGTATACCTTTCTGCAACATGCTAATTATCCGAATATATATACAGCTAGATCAGAGAAAGTCAGGAAAAAAATTCCAAAGGAATCGATTCATATGCAGCAAAGATTGGCACTTTTGGAATTAAGTTACTAAGCAAATTCAAACGGACCTTATTTCGATGTAAACATTGAATGTGAATAGATCGAGAAGACCGCAAATACTTGTACAAAAATCGGGACGACATTTTCTTAAAATTGTATGAAATATAGTAGAAAGATACCTACTTTATAAAAATAGTTATCTTTAATTTCTTAACCTGCACAGACAGACTTTTAAATTTTTATATTCACAAAAAGACAATATTTCTCTATTGAATGTACATGTGACAAGAGCAGACCGGTGTGCTCGATAACGTAGGTGCGAAAAAATAAGTATACTTTGGGAACTTGTAACATGCTAAGGACTGTGTGGAACACTCCGAAAATTGGTGACCCGAAAGATCTTTAGATTTTGTATGTTCCTGATTTTTTCCATTTTTTTTTTATGAATATGCAGCAAAGATTGGCAGTTTTTAAATTTCAGTTTCACAAGCTTCTAATGCAATTATCTCGATAAATACTGAACATAAAACATCGTGTATTTACATGTATATTTCTAATAACACAGTTTAACAATTAGTTTATTTAAAATGAACAATTATTATTTGGAAATAACTTTTGATCAGTATCGTCACCGTCATTGTTTTATTAATGATTTTCTCGACTCTATAAGAAGAGTGAATTTTCTCTTGTTTTCGTTCACTGGATATCCCACTGTATAATATGAAATCAAACAGACCTAGAAAAAACCATATTCTATATTTATGTTTATATCTGGTTATATGACCGACAGTAGTCTTCGGAGGTCCCCTCGATGGTTAAATAGATGGCGTCTAGACTAAAATAGACACGAAATGCTGATACATAGTATCGAATCCATGCATTGTAAATTGTTTATTTAAGACGTTTTATGATTTGGATATACGTTTTAGAATTTTAAAAATAAAAAATGAGAATTTGAGTCAAATCGGTGAACATGGATTTGACTGCTAATGCCCCTTTAAAATATATACAGTTTTATATAATAGTGGACTACAACAGCCATTACCATATAAATATATATGTAGGTTGTGATTGTATCTGAATACAATGACATTGATAGGAAGTATTTTTTAAGTATCAATTTTAAAGTTTAAGGGGAAACTTCGCAAAAAAATTAAAAATTGATATTATGTTTATTCGTAAGAAATATGCATACAATCATAGATATTATAAGTTATCTACGTTCATATCCGTAGATATGGGTATTTTAACACCCTTAAGTACCCAAGTATATCCTTAGGCGACCTATATCTACGGATATGAACGTAGATATCGAATTTATCCCCGGTCTTAGTCCGAATCGAGAAATTCTGGGAGAAGTCCGGACACAAAGTGTAACGTGAAAGCAACGTAATTTTTATTATTCAAAAAGGTTTTATTGAAATTTGGAAAATTGACATATTTTTTACAGAGTGTAGGTAGAACTTTCTTTTGGAAGAAACCTACAGGTATTCAAATATAAGACGTTTTTAACCCAGAGACAGAAAAACTAGAATTAATCAAATTTGGCGCGAACGTTACGTCATAGACGGCGGGACGTCAACGTGTGTCATTTGCATAGTTAGGTCAGAAGTCCCGTTCATTGACGATGTGGTAGCCAAGTGATACATTTACTAAAATGAATGCAAATGATCGGCATTAAAAGTTAGCTGAAAATAGAAATGAAAGGAATATATTTATACATTTCTTTACGCTTAAATTTGGAAACGAATAAGTATTTACCCGATATCAACAAATTCGGACATATTGCAAATCGTAGGACTGATTTTGGTTAGCATATCGATATTTAAATTTGACATAAGACATAAGACATATATTTATTGCACACAAATGTCAGAAAGTCAACATAAGGTAAACGGATAGAAAGTTACTGATCGAAACAACTAAAAGTTCTTTTGTTTGCAAACATATAAGAGAAACTTCTCAGTCTTTTTGTTACATCTTTTCATTCAAAAGTACAAAAATCTTTTTTATTACCATTGTTCAATGAAGATCTATAAATTTTGAATCGTAAGAAGGCACCATGAAGCATATTTGACAGCTTGTTTTCTTTGAAATTGTAGAAGCATAATGAATTATTTACCAATACGTTTTTGTTTTTCATGTTTGATTCAAAAACATACAAACTTGATTTACATTTTTATTGTTATCTCAATTATATGACTATTTCTTGACGAAATCTTCTTTACTTGAGGGAATGGAAACCCTCAGTACTTTCACTCTCTGAACTAGATAATTTAGCAATGATAGTATGAGACTAGCGATCTTATACAAAACTTGTTATAAAAAATACTCTCCAATCATATGAAAACAAAAATGTGAGTTAATCGGATGAGCAAAATTGGCACCATTTGATCACGAATTTATTTCGTAAACTTTAAGCTATAAATGAAACTTTATTATAAATTAATCTTGTATTTATAATTTATTCTATTATTGGGATAAACATCGGCATTTTGCTAAAAAAAAAGTATTTTGGTGACTTATAAAAGACGGACACGTCACAAGTTCAATACACAAAGAGTCGAAATAATATTCAATTTTATTTTGTCTTTTGTTTTCGGTTTCATTTCAATTAGGTAAAGTTGACCTAAGATAGTTTCTGAATTTTTTTCTTAGTTCATATAAATCAAGCATTTATACATGGCGAAGTTTCAAATAATTGGAGTACAGCGTTTACGATGAAGTTAGTGAAAAGCGCATATGATGCACCAAATTACTGAATGCTTTTTTTATAACTTTTCTTGACACATTTAGTTTAATACTAGGTTCCCGAGGTTCATTTAAATTGTTTATTTCTGAATTTGTATACGTTACTTTCAATTTAATTGTCAAATTAATCAATTATTTCATTTTAACCTTTTCTTATTGTTATTATATCATTTTTTTAATTACCGTGAATTAACCACACCTTCACGGGGTGTTGTCAAAGAATAATACACATATTAACACAATCCAAGAGGGGAAATGTTTGCTAGAATTAACAAGTCTGAAAGCGTACATATATTGTCTGACACCACAGTATCAGTTATATATGTTTGTTTAAAAACATATTTCACAGAAAAGCATTATAATACGATCCACTTTTAGCACATTTAACATATAAAATATCAGAAATTTATATCGGCCTATACCATAGAAATTTTAACTAATGAATACGAAAAAGATCTGGACGTCTGTTCGTTTTCTTCTCTTATTTTAAGTTGGTTATAAGGTTTGCAGAACTGTCATCGACGCGCTTTAAATTACGATAAAAAATGAAATTAATTTCACTCCCGGCGTGCCCCAAACAAAAATACGTCCCAATAGACTGGTAAATTCCATCAAATGAAATTAACAATTTTCAATTTTCTTCTTTATTTGTATTCATATAAAGATAAAACTGGGTGAAAATGTGTTTATGTTATTATGAACATATTAAGAAGACAAGTTTTGTAGCTGCCTTGGACATCATAGATGTCAAATTTGAAAGGGCTGTGCCAAAATTGATTTAAAGCCAAAATTATTTCCAATTGAAACTGAAACTCAACACGCTGCTCACTTCATACGGGTTTTAGATTGATAAAATGTTAGTTTGTTATGATTAAAGCCGGTTTTGTTCAACTTCGACATGAAGATAAAAAGAGATGAACATGTACTTTTAATGTTTTGTTAAAAAAATTGCACTATTTGAACATGCAAAGAAACGCATTGACGTTGTTAGGAGACACATCCTATAAATTTCCTTACGTACAAAATGAGGCGCCACTTTGAATATAAGCATTTTCAACAATAACTGCTCTTAGACGACAAATGTCGTAGATACGAATCGTCAAACTAGAATCTTTTCAAATGTGAATACATCGTTAAAGATAGCGAATTGCTACATCGACAAGAAATGGATAAATACGAAAATAAGTTTGTTTATAGTTATCACTTTGTGCAGAGATACACGGTCAATACTGTTGTTGTATGGAATCTACGCGGGAGTATTGCGGATAATAAATCAGAATCGGACGGTGTCAGTTTGAACAGCTATCGTATTTGAGCTTACCATCATGAACTCCGAATAATTTTTTTCACTCTTTTCAATTATTATTCTACTAATCGTCTCTACTTCGTATAAAACGGTAAATAAAGTCATTTTTTTTTATCTGATTCATATGTTACATTCCTCTACAATGTGCCTTTTGATCGAGAAAAATGAGGATTGAACACTTGTGAACTATTAAGATTAGAAAAACAATGAAAACAACACTTTATTAAATTCAAGCATCTGAATCGCTTTTTCTGAATTTACCTTCATAAGGAAGCCACGGATGTATAGGAACCAAACAGTTTTAGAGCTATATCACCAAGAAAGATAAAGATAATAGCCAAATGTATCCAAGGGAGTTGAAACATAGTTTCTTAATAGCTTCTAACTTTATGATCGGATAATTTTAGAAAGGTTTGTTCAGTACTAACAACTGAGCTGGAAGAAAATCTGCAGCATTCATACTTCAATATATGCAATCAATTAGATATTTACAAATAATATTTAAAACTTTTAAATCGTCGAATATGTGTTTTTTTCATTTTATATTGCGATTTCCCGAAACTTTATTACTGCCTCTATTAAAGTATTAAAGCAAATACCGTACTCTAAGGTAAATTCAAAAGGGTACGTCTATGAAAACTGACAAAATTAAACGATAGATTATCAACCAACGGAACGAATGGGAACAACATCATATTGTCACATATATATATATATATATATCAAAATAGTACAACACCAAAAATAAGTAAACAAAGAAATATTGAATAATAATAACAAAACTGGATATTTTGAATAACAAATATCCTACAACAACAGAAGTTGCTTTATGTAAAATGGTAACGTGAATTCAAAAAGATATTTATTCATATGTATTTGAAAATTGAATCTATAATAAATCTGTAGTTATTTTAAAACAATGATTAGAAATACATAATAATATAAATCATAAACTTTAAAACTAAAATTTATCCTTCTAAAATCCTGCTCCAGCAATTTCGCCAGGAACATCATTTGGACTGCGACTATCGGCTAGAATGTTGCTATTAAATTCGGCCCTGTGTCCATGCTGTTCACATGCAAATATAAATTGCCACGTGACTACAGTTTCTCCAGGTAAAACTGAAAAAGAAAGACGTTTTTGTCACTTATAACAAAACTATTATAGATGTACTTAAAGCTTTTAATGCATTATTATGTTGTAGTCAATTAATTCCTTGTCATGTACAGCTGTATTAACGAAATGAAAATAGATTTTAAAACAATATTCTTACACAATTGATGGGTGGCATATATATAAGTTCTCAATTTTAGGGGAAAGTCCGTATTGAGTTCTAGTCGTCACAATATAAGAAAATATATTTAATTTCAATTGTATTTGTTCCTTGAAATCAATTTGAGTAGTATTGTATCTGTAGATTTGTCACTCTGATTCAAACAAAATATTCTCTGTAATTTACATTTACAAGATGTTTGATTTCCTGATTGACAATAAACTCATTATATATACCAGGATTAAAATTTTGTACGCCAGATGCGCGTTTCGGATACAAACAACACAGCAGTGTGCTCGAATCAAAAAAGTTAAAAAGGCCAAATAAAGTACGAAGTTAAAGAGCATTGAGGACTCAAAATTACGAAAGGTTTTACTAAATACAGCTACGGTATAGTATTCCTGGAGTAAAAATCCGTAGTATTTCGAAAAATTAAAATTTTCATCAACAATTAATTTATAATTATGACCATATCAAGTATAATTCATGTCAACACAAAAGTGCTGACAAATGGGTTGGTGATGACATATTTGTTACATTTAGAGGACGTGTTTTAAAACTACCAATCAGTATTCCCATGGGAACCAACTGTGCCCCTTGTCTTGCTTGTTCCATTATTCATATGAAGCTGATTTCGTACAGGAGCTTCTTAGGAAGAACGAAAAGAAGCTAGCATTATCTTTTAACTTCACTGTCCGCTACATAGATAATATCCTCTCAATAAACATTCGTAGAGTGACAGAGGGTTGCTGTTAAAAAAAAGCTATTTAACCAAGAGTTCTAAGTGGTGAATTTGAAATCAATTCTCTAAGTTTGTACTTACATGAGCAACACTACGGGTGTCACATATAGAGCAGGATTTGCTTACCATTCCGGAGCACCTCAGATTACCCCTGGATTTTGAGGGGATTTGTGTTGCTCAGTCTTTGGTTTTCAATGTTGTGTTTTGTATACTGTCTGTTGGTCTTTTTCGTATTTTGCAATGGCGTTGTCAGTTTATTTTCGACTTATGAGTTTGAATGTCCCTTTGGTATCTTCCACCTATCTTTTGGCGTTATTATTGAGGATTTGATTGTTGTAATTGACCGTAATAATGTCTTCCTTTAGTTCCACACCGATAGTGGAAACCTGTACAGGTGAACTCAATAAATGTTAAATCAACCTTTTATCTCTCGTGTAACTGTTGTTTCGTCCAACCATGTTGCTGAAGAAGATCTTTGGAACATAGTTGATAAAGATGTTGACATTGACGAGGAAACACTTGCAGATCCAAACAAATAATTTACACCAGCTGTTGCTCCTACTGTCATTTCCCATTTAAACGAGAAAGATGAGGTAATACTTTCAGTTCTGGACTTTCCAACTTTGTATTGGATAGTCTGCTTGTGCTCTGCTGCCGGATCAATTACCATATTGACAATTTTCCACTTTCCAGTTAAGGTTGGTTTACCGTACACTAGAACTTCTTCGCTGGTATTGTACGGAGATACACATTCAAACTTCATCGCATAATGTTGATCCTGATGGAGACATACCACAGTTTGATTTCCTGGGTTATGGCTGCCGCCTTTTGGATGAGCGAATTTTCCTCCTTTGTGAATTATGACGTCATTTGCACTATCGATGCAAAAGAGGGCGCCTCCATGACGATCCTGATGTAGGACCAGATCAGTATTATTTCCTGGGTGCATACTGCCGCCATAAGGGTGTATTATTTTGCCACTGGTTACGTGTTGTATGTAACCCCATTGCCCATCTACAAGGTCAAATGTAAAATGCATCCTTTCGTGTGTTTCGTCGTATAGAACTATCTGGGTATTGTTGGCCGGATTTGCATGGCCCATGTAAGGATGGAAAAATTTACCGCTGGACTTGTGTTTAATAACAAATGTTGCCATGATCAAAACCCTATAATCTGAAGTATATATAAAACACATAAATTAGATCATTCTAAATCACTTGATCATTACAATTGAAAACAACTGGATAACCTTTAAAGGAAGTTAACTACTTTTATATAATGTTAAAGAAACGTAACAGAGACAGCAACCAAACAAAAGAAACAAAATTGTACCAAGAAAGTAGCTTACCGATAGATCACATTGTAAAGATCTAAGTATAGTGTAGTGTATACAACTAAAAGAAAAATTTAAAGCTAAACTGGACCTTAATGCAGAAAAACATGTTAAAAAATATTAATGCGTTCCAAAGTAATGAGGCTTTTAAAAAATGTACATGATTTTCAGAATTCAGTCATATAACTCTATGACTAGAACGAGTAATAAAAAATGATTATGATGATGGATGGTTGTTTAATTTCCAGTGGTAATTGTATATTCAAGAAAAGAGCATGTTAATGTGGTATGATCAGATAATGAACCTTGATATTTACTACTGCGACACGCTGCGCGTATTTTACACTTGCTAGCTCACGAAATAACAGTCCATATAAAGACATGTCACCATACCCGGACACATCATTCAGACTCCGGTCCGACCAGTCTTTGTTCCTACTTAGCGGAGTAGAAGGAAATACCAGTTTTCAAGTCTTTGGTTTTACCCAGCCGTGGATCGAACCCACGGCTTCTCGCATACGAGGCAAGCATGCTACCTCAACACCTACAGAAAAATAAATGTTTTTAACTATATAATGTAAAGTGCATGATTTTGTAAATGAATCATTTATATATATATATATATTTCAATGTATTAACAAGGGGAAGATATTTGATATATCAACATAACTTTTCCTAAACTGCAAAATTATCAAGAAAAAAATTGGCATAATTTAAAAATATATACATTTAAAAAAATGGTAAATATCTTTTTCTTCCATTTGTGACTGGATTACACGAAATGTAAAACAGGCTAGATGTATAATGATATTTAAAAAGTTGGTACCCATTTTGTGTTATCAACCTACAGTGTTCAACTAAAATCAAGATATTGTACACAGACATTCAACATATTAAGGTTGTACACCTGGTATTATTGAATTATTTAAGAATATTCCGCACATGTTTTCACTAGGGAACATATTCTCTCTTGGGGCACAAAACAAAAGCAGGTATCTATTTGTAAGCAACTTCCGGAAGATTATCCAGCAAAATCTACAAAGGCTCTACATATTTTGTGTAATCTGTGTGTAGTCTTCAATTTTGATGAGGATGAAGGAAAAAGAAATCTCAATATTTCAGATAAATAGAAGAGTCTGTTTTTTAAAGATATAAATAGTAAGATCGGGGCTTTCCATTATAACTTAATCGCTGATCAGAGTGTTAATTTCGTATTCAGGAGTATATATGTGAGGAATGTTATGTTAGAGATACAATGTAATTCATAATTGTTAAATATTGAAATAAAATATACAATTATTATCCAATGATATGTTTATAAGTTAACTAGTAACATAAATTTTCCTTAGCTGCATGCACTAGTTTTCCAGTTTTGATCTGGAACGGTCAATGTGATCTCAAGAGCTCTTAAAAAGACTGCACAATAATTTTTAATCATTAAGTCTCTTGGGCAATCTTATCCACTGCGGTAAATTCAGTACTGTTTAAAAGATTCGCTTGCAGTCAATTAAAAAATGTGTAGTCTATGTTCAGACTGTTTAGTACTTGTTATTTAGCTGTACACATCAACAAAATACTGAAAAGACACTGAACAGTACTGAATCGACTGCAAGCGAAATGTGCTGAATTTACCGCAGCAGATCAGTCTGAAAATTTACTGAATATGATTAAATAACTTATTGTTCAGACTTCAGATGATATCAAGATCAAAATCGGTTTACTTGTGAAGATTGTAGATATGTAAATAGACTTCACACCAAATTGCAACAATCGCGATGCGTAAAAATGTATTAGTTATATAAACTTTTTTTTCTGATGTACGAAAACAGATACGTCTTACCTGGTTTGTATTTAAAAGGTCTAAAACACTATGGGTATAAAATATTCTTAGTCATATGTTCAAAAATACTTAATTTAACAATACAGAAATATACTTAATGTTACTTTATGTTGATGTCCAATAGAATAGGATATTGTCTATTAAAGTATTTCCTGATTTTATAAGTTGGTCATAGATAATGTCAACTAAGATATCGTGAGAAAAAAATAACATTTGTTATAGAAATAAAGGACGTGCTTAGTATACCTACTCTATATAAATTACCGGTATTGACGAAAATAGTTTTAAAGAACAATCAAACCTAAAATTATTCCCTGTTTTGAATGTGATTCATATTCACTATTCACAGGAACAGGAGAATGTGTGGTTAAACTCATCAAAGATACCAGGATAACAATTTTGTACGCCAGAAGTACCGGGCGTCCGTCCTGTCTTTTACCACCTGTCATACCTTCCTTTCTTCTCAGATTTAATCAAAACATACTTATAAAAGATTTGCTATGAAAAAAAATATTTACAAAGAATACCGAACTCCAAGGTAAATTCAAAACCGTGAAAGTCCAACCTGACAAAATCTAACGTTAGACTATGTCAACCAACGCATGCTTGACAGATTGAACACAATTTAAAGGAGGCAAACATTGGCTGTAATGTTTTGATACACATTCCGCATTTGATCGCTAAAAGGGAGATCCCAAAGTTTGATGGCCATTGTTCATGAACGAACTGAAAATTATATTGCCTGGCTACGAAACATAGAATTTTGCTTGGATCCTACACAAGATATCAGTTTTAGGTGGCTGATTAATTTTTTTGGCACTTCAGAATTAAGTTTCTAAGGGACTGGTCATTTTCTTTCATTGGGGGGATGGGAGGAAACAGTGGAATTTCTCTGATTTTTTTCATGTCCCCACCTTCAGAAAATAAAATAAATTCAAGAACCCCCTCCCCCCAAAAAAAATTCTCGATACTTTTATTTTTTATAACAAAAATACATGCATATAATTTATATTTATATTATTATCATTCAATAAAATATTGCTTCAGTAGTGGATCTAGAGCTTAAAATGGGAGAAGTTGTTACCTTAGCTGTATTTGGCAAAACTTAAAGGAATTTTGGGTCCTCAATGCTCTTCAACTTTGTACTTTATTTGGCCTTTTTAACGTTTTTGATTCGAGCGTCACTGATGTGTCTTTTGTAGACGAGCGCGCGTCTGGCATACAAAATTTCAATCCTTGTATCTATGATGAGTTTATTGTGACTTAAGGAAACTTTTTTTGGATATATATAAAATGAGGAGATGTGGTATTATTGCCGAAGCTATCCAACAGAGTTAAAAAAAAAACACGTGGTAGTAAGCAATTATAGGCCACCGTACAGCCTTCAACAGAGGTAAAATGAAGGGGTAGTAAGCAATTATAGGCCACCGTACGGCCTCAACAATGAGAAAATATCATACTGTTTTGTCAGCTATAAAAGGGCCGACATGAAAAATGTTAAACAATTCAAACGAGAAAAACTAATTTCTAACAAAACAATTTTCGAAAAACATAAATACATGTATGACAGACCTGAACCAACGACAACCACTGTACTCAGGCTCCTGACTAAGGACAGGCACATATAGAATATGGCAGAGTTAAACATGTAAGTGAGAACTCCACCCTCCTTTAACCTGGGACAGCGGTGTTACACCATAACACACGAACAAACTTTAAAATTCAGTTGCAATTTGGAACTCAAAAGATCGGTAAGATGCACTAAAAAAAAGACACGAAGCACCGAAAAAAACAGTACTCACAGTTACTGAAAGTTAGTTCAATGCCAATTACAACTAATAAATCATTTTTCCAGACTAAAGTATCAACCAGTTCACATCCAACGGATTTAGTGTAAAGACGTCATAAACAGTCTAAGAAACGCAGGACCTTGTGCAATGCCAAAATATAAGTAAACAACATCTACAGGATGTAGTATCATAAGTTATTATAACTGTACATATATAGCAACATATAGTCAATTATGTTTTAATTTTTCAAACCAAAAACAATGTTAATAGTCCTATAAAACAAATTTTAAAAAGATTTAACTACTGTGTTAAATTGATAACCTGGTTTTAAGAATAACTGTATTCAAAGGATCAATTCGTTTACATGAAATGTGTCTAAATTTACGGGCTTTATAAACATCATCACCGTAAAATGAGGATGGGATATCACGTTTGTAATAAGAATTCTACAGGTGCAGCCAAACTTTCGGACCAAATCTTTATATATATGAAAGAAATTGGTAAAGGTTTTAATTAATATGTGGTGCCTTTTAATTTAATAGTTATACATAAATTATAATCACTGAAATCTAAAATCAACAACAGACACGGGCATAGCGGCCAAGTTGTGAAATGTATTATAACACCGTCAGAAGGGGATAAAGGAATAAGCCTGTTATGGTCTCATGGACATTTACCACACCTTCATTCAATTTCAGCACATTGTTCATATATATCGTTTATTAAAGAAGTTGGTAAATGAACTTTAAATAAAAATGCATTCTTGGAAGAATATGTTGAAACTTAGGATTTGAATCTTAACAATTTAGCCGAGCGTAGCGTGGCGAAAAAAATTGATGTCTCTTGTGCCAAAAAATATACTTTTTATTGTATGGAGAAGAGGTGGGTGTGGGTCACCAAAATTTTTCAATGCTCCCCCATCTGAAGTATTGAAAAATTGGACACCCCCCTTTCAATGCCCCAAAATCTTCAAGGCCCCCCTTATTTTCCTCCCCCTCCCCTTCGGGTTACAAATGACCAGTCCCTAATGAACATTTATTTTCTCTTCAACGGTAAAATTACATTCAATATGTGAATGGGCAAGGTTTTTTTAAAGTGAATGTTGTTGCAAAAAAAAAAACGAAAAGGAGAGCATTTGAAAATGATTGATTGAGAAATGCGCAATAGTAGATGCCATCCGAATTTACAATGTCGTTTGTAAAAATAAATGATTTATATTAGGGTATTGTGCT